ATTTGGTTATATTTAAATTAACTGGTTTTCATGCAAACATGAATTCTTGTAAATTTAGTTTAAAGTAAGTATATTAGGTTGGTCCAATGTTTGGTTCATCAACTGAAATGTTCAGAAAATCATTTGGAACAGGACAAATATTTTAAGTTGTAATATAATATAATATAATCAGGTCATAAAAAGCGATTAAATTCAGATTCAGTGAATTCAAATATTTTAGATGTGAAATCTAAAGAGTAAGAAGACGATGTGAAGAAACACAACATAGCGGACAAACAAATGAGGAAATAAGTGTTATTAGCAAGATGCTAAGTATTAGCTGTGAACCAGCTAACTTTTCTGATGTCAAAGACGGACATTATGTGGTAATTTTCTTATCTTGGAATATTTTTATTATTAATATTCTGGATTACTTTTAATCTGTGGACCCTTATGGACGAACGGAGTATAAACTATTGAAGATTGGATTTATAAAACGGCTTCTGGACGCCTTCAAAGGGATGTTGTTATGGCTGGTTTGTAATGTTTACATTTCGACATGTTGCTATATTTGTGTTAATTATGCTTTGGTTTTCGCTGTGTCCATAAAATGAACTTTATGGGTGAATTGTGGAGAATCTAAGTTTTCCAAGGATGTCTAATATGTCCTTATTGGTAAAAATGTTACCATTGTAATTTTCATATATTCTGAGTTATTCGTTGTAAACGCTTTGAAATGGGTTTGAGAGGATAACATTTCTATATTGTTTCTCCTGGGATCAGTCTGTGCCCATTATATCTTTGCTGGGATATGCGCAGAATATTGTTCCATCGATGGTTCTGTTTTCAGGTCTTTTTTATGCAAAAAGCAAAACAACTTTTAGGTTCATTACTGCCCCCACCTGGTCAGGAGTGCAACAGGTTCATCAGGGATGAAGACTGGTACTTGAATATTTGTTAACTACTTGTGAATTTGTGATCGGTGGTTGTAAATATAAAGTTGATACTCGTAAATATTTGTTTTATTCCAATAAATCTGTGATTTTCTAGTAAATTTGGGACTAAAACTCATAAATCTGATCCCAGTTATCAGTGCCAAATTGTTCAAGGCTTCAGTGAGAGTTCTCTAGCGTACCTGTTGTTGTTCTGATTTACCAGTTTTGCCCTCGAACCTTTGAGCCTGCCTTATCCTGTTTCGGATGTGTTTGCCTGACCTGTCTTTGGACTCCTGCTGGTTTCTAACTGTGGACTAAAGCTGGACCTGCCTCCTGATTTCCACTTGGATTTCCCTTCGGTACCTCATTGGATCTCTGAAGTTCTGGTCTGGACTGCTGTTAACCTCTTCGACACCGGTTTGGGCCTCATTTTCCAGAAGCTCCTGCCTCCCTCCCTCTGTTTGAGTCTGCTTGTCAACCAGTTCATCAGTCTTCTAGGCCTCGGCCCCTACAACCCTCTGGACGGCGTTCGCCATGTGCTGCTGTTAGCCATCCGGCTGCATTCTACTCCTCCTTCTGGGCACAGACTGAACTCCAAAACCAGGTTAGTGACTCACACGCTCCAAATCACTCTCTGTCAGATTTACATGGTCACTATCCTGAGTTATTCCTCTACATAGATCCAGCCTTTGGTGCCCTTGTTGCTAAGTTTTACATCCAACGCTTTGCTTTGAATTGTGGGTCCTCAGTTCTGAGCCCTG